GCCCCCCCCCAATTCAATATAAACTGCCAAACTGGTAGAAAATTGTTGGTTTCTTCGATTTCATTATATAAATTTTGACAAGTGCCTGATTTCATAACGGTGACTAACAAATGTTATATCCCCACCTCCACACAAATTTAGCTCATCATACAGAAAACGGCTGCTCCGACTTTGGACAGGCCTACAACTACAATGTCCCGGCAGACACACAGATTCTCAAAGTTTTAGTAAGAGTTTTACGGCACTTGCAACACAATCAGATCATATATATAAACTGTTGAAGATTAGGTGTTACAAGAGTAACATACACAAAAAAAAAAAAAAAAAAAGAAGAAGAAGAGGAGAAATAAGGACAACAGAAGTTTGATTGGAAAGAAGGAGCAAACCACACCAGAGCAAACACCAACCACCTACAGACAGACAGAGATACTTGATAAAAAAAAAATCCCTTTCCAAATAGGAATCAAAATCACATCTACGCGTAAGAGTAAAGTGCCTAACCGCTACACTTCGTACGGTGTTAACTCACTCGCTGCTGACCACTATGTGGCTCCACTTCCGAAGAACATTAGGCATTTAAGCACCTATAAAAATTTTTTTTAAAAATTGTGATCTTACTATTCACAACCCACAGTAAAATGAAGCTTGCAAAAAGGAAATTTAGAAAAACCAAAATGCATAGTGCAATTTTTTTTAAAAAGATAGCTTGAATGGTAATTTTAACATGATTTTTTTAACAGCAAAAATGTGTTTCAACTTTTGAAAAACACAACAAACAAACCCCAAACAAACTTGTTTCCGAAGAATTTTCACACCATTCTTTTACCTAAAGTCAATATCTATTTAGAAAATAACAGTTGTTTCAATACAATAAAAATATTGGGAAATTAATTAATTGCAACCTCGTGTTTAGCAGATAACAAAGCAGTAGCAGTATCAAATGTACCGTAACAACTACACACGAACAGAGGACAACCACAATAACATAGATAGAGCCTCACTTTTTTAAGATTGTGGGTGTGAGATCATTGTTTATCAGTAATTCATAAACTCCAAAATATCAATTTGTTGCTTTTTATCGACACAAACAGAGCCATGCCCGGGCTGGCGTCACATCGCCACTTATGCTGAACGGTTCGGCTCTATGCTGTAGTGTATTCACTGCTCCCCGTGTTGGGAGTCATATAGTTCTGGAGTGTCACTGAAGGGTCGACCCAAAATAATTCCAAGCCAAAGACTTGAATCCAATAGAAAATGAACTGATCTTTCTACAATCGGTAACATTTTTGAGCCGGAATTTTACATAATGGTGTAAAAAATAGACCTCGCAAAACTTTGATGATGTTTTTGTAGGCTTTCTATTTAAACTCCAATGGCAAAAAATATACCAATGGATACGCCATACAAAGCTCCATAGTTCTCTGCCATTGAAAAGGTGCAATACAATAATCAATTTTTCCGCAAAGCATTCAAATGCTTAGGTGTCAATTTTTTAACTGGCTGACCCCACATTTTATTTTAACCGCGAGGGGCTTAGCTTTCCTCAGAGATTTTTCATGGCGGAAAACTTTAGTGCTTCATTGCGACAGCATGAAGAAACAGCAATCCGAAATGCCCGAGTTCCCAGGAAACAACCCCCTCAGAAGGTAGCCAGTTGGCTTATATACTGTTTACGCTACCTACCTACAGCCTTCCACTAGCTTCTACTTAACTCCGGCACCGCGTCTATCAATTTTTCCCCCAAAACACTCTTGTGCATGGCAGCGAGTGAGCTAAACATACACATAACCAGCTGCAAGTAAACTGGAGGCTGATCAGATCAACACATCTGAGCAAACTTTGAAATGTCATGGATACATCAATACATGACATATATGCATTACAACACTTTGAAATGTCATGAACACATCAATATATATGTGACATATATATGCATTACAACACTTCAATATGTGAGGCGTGCCGACAAAATGAGTTACTTCTCGCGATCCATTATAACTGGAAATATTGGCTAAAAATCGACTTAAGGGTCAAACTTGTTGATTTTTCTATTGATGTCATATTCTTTTAGTATAACATGCCTTTTATTATTTCATACTTATAAATCGTAAAAATTTCATCTATAACCGTGACGCATCTATTTCCACAGGGCACAAATCAGAGAAGTAACTCATTTTGTCATGCACACTTCACATATTACTATTACATTACAACACTTTAAAAAAGAATTATAGTGATCCAACACTATCATGAATTTTTGAAAGAGGAAAGTGGTGATGCATGTCTCAGGCCCGTATGTTTGCAAGAAATCTTCGGTGAGACAAATGAGTTCTGCGTAAGCTAATCACACATCATCAACAGCATTGCCTTTCTCACCCTGCACCAGGGTATAGGCCACGGACAAAGACCTTCCACCATTCTCTATCCTGGGCTAGGCTCTTGATGTTATTCCATGTCTTTCCACTTTTCAAGTTGATCACACACTTCACCAAAAACCCTTCCACCATCACACTCCCGCTCACTCACTGTGCGTTTTGGTGGTGGAACTAACTGTAGGCTGTCTTTGTATACAAAACTGCCTTTGTAAATCTTTTATGCCAAGCCCACACAATTCTAACCCCCCCCCCCCCCCCCCCCCCCGAACCAGAGGCCCTTGGCTCTGACAGAACTGTCCAAACTCTTCAACAGTTAAAAGCAAAACACCCTCAACTAGATATAAATATATATATGGCAGTGAGAAACAGTAGCAAATGCTAGGGGATATGGCAAATGGGACAATATGTATCAAGGTAAATGCTGGCAAATGGGGAAACATGTATCAAAGTAAATGCTGGCAAATGCGACAATATATCTATCAAAGTAAATGCTGGAAAATGGGACAATACATATCAAAGTAAATGCTAGCACATGGGACAATATGTATCAAAGTAACAGAAAATGAAAACAGTCCCAGTTAGGGAGGAAAAAGATGAAAGCATAGAAAATCAAAAACTTTTTATCACAATGATCTTTTAAAGCCATAATAAAAACGATGCAATAAAAATACAAAGGAAACAAGCAATGATACGACAGGAATTAACTCTATCAGATATTTGCTTTGCTGGAGTGTCATACACAAAGAAATGAATGCAGGCTACAAAATGTGTGGACTCTGGGACCTCCATGTAAATATCGGACACAATAATATCAGTTTGTTCTAGATTTGGGCACAGAAACCACTTGACGTAAAAGTCTGGGACTTGATATTAATCTAATCATACATTTGGGTATAATTTGTTAATCGTTGATATAATATAAATATACAACATATGTGATGTTACAATCCGAGTCTTGCTATCAATCTATTCATAAATTTGGATATAAATCTAAATGAGTGTTAAAATCTCGGACGCGATATTATTAGTTCCTTCATACATTATTAGAAGTAAACGCACTTGACTTTACAATCTGGGACTTGAAATTGTTAGTCTCTTCATAAGTTTATACACAAACACAATCAATGTTTCAATCTGGGACTTGAAATTACTAAGTCTGTTAAAAAAATTGGACAAAAACACATAAAATGAAACGAAGACATTGAAGCACTAAGGAATGTGGAGAACGGAATAAGAGTACATAAAATAAAACTAGGAAAAAAGCTAGTCCATCACAAAGGAGGAAAACAACTACATAAACAATCAAACAGACAAAGTTTGTCTTTCTTGGCTCCAAACCCGACCATATCAGTGCCCCCCCTCCCCATACCATGAGAATTATGAGAATTGTTTTAAGACCCATCAACGTGACTTAGATAATTTAGAGGGGGCAAGCTGTGTAACCGATGACACAGTGAGACTCAAATGCGTAACTGATGATACCGAGTCCAATAAATATAAAGGAAAAAAATATACCTTGGGTAAAATCATGTAGGCAAACAATATTAACTTTTCTCTTCTGTTTTAAGCAGAGATCTGTGAGACAGACGTGTATACTTTGTTGAACAATATTCAAGTTCAATGTCGGATGAGAGAGTCAAGAAGAAAATAGCTTAGGAATGTGACATGTTCAACAGTTGGGGAATGTGACATGTTCCGTCAGCCGGAGAATGTGATATGTTCAACAGCTGGGGAAAGAGATGTGTTCAACAGATGGGGATGTTACATGTTTAGCACCCAGGGAAAATGATATGTTCAACAGACGGGGAAAGTGACATAACAGCTGGGGGGGAGTGCGATGTTCAGCAGTTGGGGAAAGTGACATGTTCTAAAGTTGGGAAAGTGACATGTTCTAAAGTTGGGGAAAGTGACATGTTCAAAAGTTGGGGAAAGTGACATGTTCAACAGTTGGGGATGTTATATGTTTAACACTTTTCCTCCACATCTCGCTGATCGGCAAGCCTCCGGTATTTCCGCGTTCCTCCACATCACGCCGATTGGCGATGAGTACCCCAGTGATACCATAACAACACAAAATTTATCGTAGTGAACTCCTCATTGACATGCGCACAAAATAAGCAATTGGAACTTCCTTCCGCGTCCCGTTTGCGTCCAATAGCGGGAAAAGTAGAGTGTTTACACTTGTTCTTATGCGAAATTTCGATCAAACTTTGCGATATGGCATCGCCTGGCGAGAGATCAGTTTTTCGCAATGACGACGACTCTGGTGAAGAGTTTCCCGACGTTGAAAACAACAGTTCTTTGCTCAATTTGGAGGACAATGTGCAGGAAACAAATGAACTGAGTTCAGCTAGCAGTTCTAGTACTAGGTCTGCCTCTCCGGCGTCTCCTTCGAATGACGGTCCACCAGCCAAAAAATCTAGATTTAGACCTGGACCCAACTCCCAACCTTACTCAAAATGGGCGAGGCACTGAGCCCATCTTCAACTGGCAGCTGTATGATGACAGAGATCTCTACACTTCAGCTGAATGGTTGCCAGACAGGGACCTACATAGAGCAGGTATTTTGGTCGACAGCAGTGGGTTTCACGAACTAAATTATTTTGAGCTTTTTTTTTATGCCAGTGTCATAGAATGGATCGTGAATGAAACAAACGCTTATGCCAAGCACTGCCTTGATTCCTGTCAGGGCACATACTACAAAGAGCGATGGAGGGACACAGATGCTTTTGAAATCAGAGCATTCCTTGGCCTTCAAATAGGTGAGTATGGCTTCGTTATAATTATAAATATCTTGATCTTTTTTATTTTTACCTGATGAACCATAGCACTCTTCGTCTATATGAATTTTTGTGAGCGCGTCTGTACATATGAGCATGCACGTGTCTGTTCATGCAAGTACATCTTAGATTTTACTAGATTTAGCCTAGATCTAGATTTCTAGAGTTCGTAATAAAAGTAATTTTATCAAGCAGTGAAATTTATTCCTTAGATCTAATGTGGGTATTATTACAGTGCATGGACAGGTTGTGTATCAATACTAAATCTAGGTCTGTTGGCCTTCAGTGTTTTGTGTAATATTTTTTTGGTAGGTTTGAAAGCATCTCACTAGGTTTGTGTATGAAGGAAATAACAATGTCCTGAAATGTCAAGAAATTGTGCTGAAGAATTGATTCTCAAGTACTTTTTTTTGGTCTCTTTCTATTCATAATTTACAGCTATGGGTGCAAGTCCGAAGAAAAGCCTCGAAAACCACTGGGACAGCTATTGGCTGTTCGAGACAAAATTCAGCGAAGTGATGACCCGTCATCGATACCAGATGCTCCAGGCGTTCATTCACTTCAGCGATGTGAACCGCCACATTCCCAGGGGGCAGGATGGCTACAGGCCCTTGGGAAAAATTCAGCCGCTGCTGGACATTATCACCCCCAAACTCTCAGCCCTATACCACCCCTACCGCCACATCAGTATCCATGAGAGTATGGCCCGTTTCAAGGGCAGGTGCCACTTCAGGCAGTATCTACCTGACAAGCCGACCAAGAGAGGCTTCAAAGTCTTGGTTTGTGATGCGAAGACTTTCTATGCCTTGAAGCTCATAATTTATACAGGGAAGGAGCACTTCATTATCCCCGATGGACAAAGCTTCACGGAACACTTTGTAACAACCTTGGTTGAAAATTATCAAGACAAAGGTCATGCTATTTACATGGATAATTTTTATTCGTCGCCTGCTCTATTCAATCGCTTGCAGATGCGCACGACTGGTGCAGTCGGCACCGTCGTTGAAAGCAGGAAAGGCTTTCCTGCTGAACTGAAAAAGGCCAATTTCTCCCTAAAGAAAGGGGATGACCCCGTTTTTTCCCCGATCAGGCGATCTAGTTGCTGTGTCATGGCACGACACAAAACGTGTCAACCTTCTCAGCAACATTCATACCAATGAAACTGTACGGAAGTTCATCAGAAGCAAGGATGCGTCAGGTGGACACAGAGCGGTGGATAACATGTCGTGTACAATGCACACATGGGGGGGTGTTGATCATTTTGATCAGCTGTTGAAGAATTATCAGTACCCCCACAGAAATTACAAGTGGTACTACGCTCTGTTCCACTATTTGAAAGATCTCGCACTTGAGAATAGTCGCATACCGATGGAGCAGAATGGTGCGAACAAAACAGGAAGGGACTTTCGCAAAGCTGTTGCTGATGGGCTCGTTCGTCCCTACATGCTCGCCAAAAGGAACCCGAAAGACCAGCCCAATAATGCTGCAGATCGCCTCTGTGCAGCAGCTTTTGGGCACTTCCCTTCAAAGTTTACAGATGCCAAGCACCGTCCAGTGTGCAAGGTCCGCGCCACCGTAAAAAAAACATGCCCAGACCCGACACTACAGCCCAGAGCGTAATGTCGCCCTTTGTATCGAGGATCGTTTTCGTATATATCACACTGCAAAGGACATCAAGGCCGCAAGAGAGCAGCTGATGCAGTGATGATTCTGTAATTGGAATTCTGTACATAGTTGTGTGTGTGTGTGTGTGTTTTTTTTTCCTCAGCCCAATTGTGTTAGGCCTTCTGAAATGTTTTTCAAATGTGCGTTGGGTTGTGTGAACTTCTCTGCGGATGTACGTGAAATTCTCTGCGGATGTACGTGAAATTCTTTACGGCGGATAACTTACCTGAAAATCTTCAAGACTTCAGTGGGCGAGTTGATCCTTTACTTCAAACTTCATTACTAATATTTTTGTTCAATGTTGTGAGTATTACTAACCTTGATATTTTGTTCCGTCACAGTCAGGACATATTTGTGTTATTTTTTAGACAATTATCAAACGCAAACACCACACATTTACAACTAGCATTAGTCAAAAGTAAATTTTCCCACCACAGATTACAGTATTTTCAAAGTATGTTCAATTTCAAAACACTCATGACATTGGTTATTTAGAAAATATGACTTGTGCTGACCCACCTGTGTGATCCGAAAATACCTCCGATTTTGGCTGCTCCAGTGCCTTTTATTATTTTCTTCTTGCACTCTTGAAATGTCTATATATTTCATGTTATCAGGTTCATATCATTCACAGATGGTCAAATACACTCTTACCATGTTGTAAAGGGTATTATTTTGATTTTGTACACTTTTTTCTTCTCCAAAATGGCCGACTTGATTACATAATCAAACCGAGTCTATTTTGCGGAATCTAATTGATAATTCAATATTTTAGCGTTGAAAAAAATTTGAACACGATATCTGTTGGCGTCACCGAGAAAATTACATTTAGGTGACCACCCTAATTTTCCTGAAATAAGCTCCGAATAGCCTGGTCTGGTGCCATTTTCTAATTTCTTCTGACACACTTGCAATGCATAAACACTTTATTTTATGCGGTTGATATCACTCACAAATCGTCAAACACACTTAATATAATGTTATAAAGTGTATGTTGTTGGTATAGTCCATTGTTATAGGTTCCGAAATGCAATTTTTTCCCTCTTTTCTCTTTAGCTCATTATTCAAAAGGCGGACTTGATTATGTAATCACGGAAAAAAATATTTGTGGCATCCAATTGACCATTCACTTTTTTTGGCTCAGTAAAAAAAAATTGAACGCGATATACACTGGGGTTACAGAGAAATGACATTTTGCTGACCTACCCTATTTTCCCTGCAAACCCTCCCATTGGTATGTGGAGGGAAGGGTTTTTCCTTATATCTCTATGTGGAGGAACAGTGTTAAAAGCCTGGGAAAAAGATATGTTCAACAGAGATGGGGAAAGCAACTAAGATGGGGAAAGTGACATGTTCAACAGCTGGGGATGTTACATGTTTAACATCCTAGGAAAAAGGTACATTCAACAGCAGGAAAAAGTAGCATGTTCAACACCCATGTCTGCATTTTGTCAGTTTCATCATCACATGACCATAAGGTGGTCGCAGTTGGTATGGCCATGTATGTAACAGTGGGGCAGTCACATGACCAATGCATGGTTGTGGTTGGTGTGGTCACAAGTTCAATGCATGGTTGTGGTTGGTACGATCACATGAGACAGTGATGTGGTCGTAATTTGATCACATGGCAGCTGTGTGGTTTTTTTAGTCACATGACTGAAGGTGGTCGAATGACCGTGGTGTGGTCGTACTTGGTCTGGTCACTCGATCATGGTGATGCTGTCCTGGTTGGTCACATGAAGGTTGTGTCATCGTAGTTTGGCATCTGGTGCTTGGCCCGGGACTCGAACAGCTCCCTCACAAGACTGGCCTTCTCCTGCTCCAACTGAGCCATCTGGTCACGGTTCTGGCTCAGCTCCTGAAACCACACACAAAAATCTTCATCACTACCAACAGAACACATGAAGGACTACTTGTATTTCTATATTCTTTCTTTCTCTTACTCAGAGCTGCCAGGTATCAAAAACCTTTTTCAGGGACACATTTCAGTAATTTCAGTGGCACACCCAGTACAGCGTGTAATGGCGCCACAAACATTCTAAAAAAGAGCTATGGGTGTGGAATGTTGTGTTTAACTAGAAACCCAGTAAACAGAACTTCTGCCCTAATCACAGCTTTGGTCAATAAACTATTTGATAGTTCGGAAAGTGCTAACGTAGACCGCGAAGATGCCACAGACTTAGCATTTTGAACATGCCTTAGGCAATCCACATGACTTTGGCAATAGTTCAGTCTAGAATCAATTGCAAAGTCTTTGAAGCACACAGTGCAATGAATATAGTTAGTTAGATTCTTTTAAAGACTTGACGGGACATGGAAATGTAACTCGCACATCCCTTCGCTTCCTTTTTCGGAGGGCAAGACGCCATGTTTGCTTCGTAGGAAACAACAAAACAAATAACGAAGCTGAAGCTGAAACTTTGTCAAGCAAGATCCGGAAGATCCTTGCATGCACAAGCGTAGTGACTGGATCGTGGCCTGGGATCAAAATTGGAATCTGATCTATCATTTAGTTCGAGTGCCATAAGGGCATATTATAGGTGTAAGGCAATCAACGAGAACAAAAGCATACAGATAAACTGAAAGACTTCCTGTAGTCCAGTCAAAGATTATCATTTTTTAATAGAATGTCAACTTCGGATTTACTACAGATCTTTTAGTGAAGTTGGCCAAGAGTAGAACTAGCTCTAATATATGCCCAATATTGAATAGGTCTACTCGATACCAGTACTGGTAGAGGCTTTCCCAAGAACTACCGTACGAGTATCGATCGTACCAAGACGAGGCAAGCTGGACTTTTGTTTTAGTCAGCTGACCGTGGGCTTGCGAGGACTGGCTGCTCAACATAAACAGCCTCCACCCTTGTCTTCGTCTAATTGGGACTTTTGTGTTGCGTTTTGCTCATCTGGGGTTGCAACGGATCTCTTAAAAAAAATAAATATTGGGATACAAGTTCCGCCGGCACTCATTTCCGAAGGCAAATTCTTGATTTGCAAACTTCATGGGTTTCAACTCGGAATTCTAAAAAAGGAGTAAGGAGGAACTTTCCTGGTGATCGCCACAGAAGCCCATTTTCGCGAAACACCCATTATTATTATGCTGTTGAACCCTAGTATGCTGAAATAAAAACCACCAATTTATCAAAGCAAGGTTATTTCACACCAATTTGAGGGTTTGGGAGATAATTTCAAGTAAGAGTCACGTACCAAATATTTACAATCTTGATTACGTACAGAAAGTGGTGGCGCCTGGGGTCTTGTGCGACTTATTTATATTTTCCCTTCATCATACATGTATTCGCCTGTATATATAAACTATATAAAAATGAATCTTGTTTTGAGCCTAGAACCAGAATATCGACTGTCATGACTCATATCATATATGGCCTATATACTAAACGTGAAAGACAAAAATTAATGCTCAAACTCAAAGTAGAGTAGAATAGCCCAAGTAGACCTATTCAGTGTGAGAGGTGTAAGAACTGTGGGAGGGCAAGATGCAGTGATACTGAAAATCTGCAAATCTCAACAGAAAGATCTAATTAACTGTCACCAATCCAATGAAACGCAAACACTTAGGCCCCTAAGTTCCATAACATGCTTACAAGTTATGACGGTTCCCGATTTCACACAAGGCCTGCACACTTTACTTTGCAGAGAGCTGTAGTAGTAATCAAAATTCTAAACATTAAACTAAACATTTGCTTCCACTTTCAGTTTCTTCGTCCTCTGGTGTTGCATCCAGCCCTCCCCCTATCCCCGAGTGCGTCTTTACAAAAAAAAATCAACAATCTCCCCCTATTCCTGAGTCATGTACTTCGCAGCGCTCAGAACGCGCGCAGGTTCATTGACCGGTCACAATGACGAGCCCGACAAGACGCTTGTATAACTTTCTTTTCTTTTTGGTTGCCCCCACAAGTGACAGCACAGTGACAAATATCGATTTATTTTCATGGCGACACCACGTTTGTAATGCCGAACCTGCATGTTACAATATATGTTGTGTTATCAGACAATTACTGACAAATTTCTGGCTAATAACGAAAGCGAAAGTAGATCTTGATTTTCCAATCGAGCCTTGATGACACAATTCCGCTTGCCGCCAAAGCTGCCAGTTCGCGTGAAACGCACTCCCAGAGCCAAATTAATATCACAATCACGACTGGCAGAAATGAACTTAAAGACGTTATTGGATTTGGTTTTCAAATATTCGAGATCTTTTAGGAATTTTCCCGGGTCTCGGCGATTTTTTAAAAATTCCCGGGGCCTCGCAGTCACCCTTTCTGATTGGCCCGCTGTAGCGGTAGCGGAGTTTAGCGGAGGAAATGGCGGTAGCAGAAATCCGCTAAATAGCAGACTATTGGGACCCATGAACTTCCGTGGCAGTCCCGGAATTTCCGTGGCACTTGGCAGCTCTGCTTACCTACCAACAGAACACAAGGCGGCACTACTTTTATTTCTACATTCTTTCTCTTACCTACCAACAGAACACATGACGGCACTACTTCTATATAACTACATTCTCTCTTTTTCTTACCGCATCCCCCCCATCCTGTACTTCTCTTCAACAGTTCCTGGCTACCGTATACAATATTGACTGTATAATGATTATTACCATTATTGTTGTTACCATTATTGTATTGCTATAATTACTATTACAATTATAATAATCGTAATCATTATTGTTATACTTATAGTTATAATTAACTTAAAAAACCATCATCACATCATTCTAACTGTTCATACCTCCATCAGGCGTCGGTTGTGTTCAGTCAAAGCTCTGAGCCCAGAGTCAGCATTGGGGGGCCGGCCCGTGGATACTGCAAGGTTCATGTGGAGTGGGAAACCCTGAAGAGGACACAACACAGGAATTTAAGGACAGCAAATAACCAAACAACATGATGCAAATTTGTAGCTCATACTTAGTGAACTGTAGAAGCCTTTGGGTATGATTGTTCCTGAGCATCAACTTGTGGTATTTACAATGTTAAACATGTATATCATTTTATAGGCTTGAGAACAGAGAAGCACATTGACATAATAATGTTCATTTAGTGCAATAGAAAAGCAAGATAGACAGAGAGAAACAACACAGAGAGTAAAGAAGTAGGTCCTACCAGCAGCACCCTCCAAACCTCACCCTTGCAGTTGAAAAAAAAAAGGTAAAAATCACTCATCAACATTGACTTCTGGTATTAACTTGGTATAATATCTGCATCTCTCATCAGTGCCTCCATATACTGTGCATTAGTGACACACCGGAAAAGTCCCGGATGGTTATAAGACTACTTAATGTTGTATTTATTCAGACGTGTCTTGAGAAAAGTTTGAGAAAAAAAGTCAGGAATACAAAACAAGCTAAGCCGTGATATACATCTATCAACACATTCCGTTTTTCTCCCATACCAATTTTTACATACTAAATATCTAACCAGGAAGAAAACTTTAGTATTAACCAAAAATGTAGTTGAGTGTGCGTCTAAAGGTTTGACTGCTTACCTTCTCAGAACTTTCCACCAACAGACGTAGATGTTGGTTCACCTCCGCTATACGAGCCCTCTGGAAATTCATCCTCTCTTGATAAGCCTCCACAGAGTTGTCCTGCACAAAAATATTAACATCACATCAGACTGTCTTTCAAAACAAAAGGAATGAAAACATCACACTTCAATGTCCAGAGTGAAAACATTACACCAGATTGTCCAGATTTAAAAAATGAAAACTCAAACCGAACTGTCTTGCGTGAGAACATGAAAATACAGCATTAGATTGTCCAAATAAAAATATCATGGTATAAAAAACATGAAAACATTGCAGCAGATTTCCTTTCTCATGACATCCAGCGCAACCTTCATAATGCTTATCCTAGGCTTTTAAAAGTCTCCTCATGAATGTAGAAGAAAAAAAAAAGACCCCCCCCCCCCAACATGTTGACAAACTTTTAAGTTTTGTGGGAATAGGCTTAGTGGGAGGGACCACGAAGCAGCTGGTCTGCCAACAAAAGTTTGATTGTTATCTATAAACTAAAATTGTCACTGTAATAGTTTACCATCTAGTGCAAATCAGGTCCCAACAACACAATACATAGCTTTTTTTTATAGTAGAGGGTTTTACTGCGCTCGCAACTGCAAAAGGTCATATGAGCGCCAAGGGGTGGGTGTCAACAGAGAAGTCTTTACAGGGAATCAGACTTAGACTGCTCACCTCTCTAGCTTCAACAGCACAAGGTCTGCTTCGACTATCAAGGCACCCCAAAATAGCAGGTCACAGGGGGGGGGGGGGGGGTGGTAATACATAGCTTACCAAATCATTTCCACACTTAAAACTAAAAACAAAACATGACTGCAAAAACATTTTCTGGGTTGTTTTTACATGAATACAATCTAGAATTTTGTAACAAAGTCATGCAAATTCTGCACAATAGAAAAATCCACTCTGAACACCACAAAGAGGCTTGCAATGAACACTGCTGTATCCTCACAGTAGCCTTTTATATAGCTGTTGCCTTGTCACTACTGACTATTCCATACAAATGTAAACAGCCTGCCGCCTGAATGATCTAACTTGTGTCAATGATGGGGGTGTAAATATAGACTATAATTACAATATAGACATAAAAATATAACCCCCAAGGGCGGTGCTACTGACTGAAGTGTCTTTAGGCCATTCCCAAAGGGGAGACATTAATATATGTTCTAATGCACAGTGGAATTGTAAATTGTAAATGGGCTGATTCATCAATGTCATGCTCATAACTGTGCCTGAACTGCAACAGGGAACTGCTGCTTTTTCTTTTCTAATCCTTACTATCGTCATTTTTCCTTTACTTCTTTTGTATGTTTGTCACACTCTTGTGACCTGCTATTTCCGGGGTGCATTGTCATTGATAGCCGAAGCAGACTTTGTGCTGTTGAAGCTAGAGAGGTGAGCAGAGTAAGTCTGATTCCCTGTAAGGACTTTTCTGTTGACATCCATCCCTTGGCGCTCATATGACCTTATGCAGTTGCGAGCACAGAAAAACCTCTACTACTAACTAAAGACATAAATAACATGAAGAGAGAGACATGTAACAAAAACTTCTGTACCTTCTCAGTTTTTAAACATGCTTTGACTGGTCAGCGTTCACCAGACCACCTGCCACTACTACTTATCAGATGACGTTTCAAGACACCCTTCAAGAATTTTGTTAAGTCTATCTATTCTATATCCCGATGGCAAACAAGACTCACATTATACGAGACCTTCCCCAGCATGGCCTGTTTGTCGGACACTGCAGAAAGTTGTTTCTTATACCAGTCTCGGGCCGAGTCCACCATCGCAAGCCCCGCCCGCAAAATGGAAGTCTCCTCCTCTAGTTGTTTCATACGCTTCAGCTGTCAATACATACACACAATGGAGAGGGTGAAAAAGAGAGGGACGGTGTTATAAATATGATGGACATACAGTGTAGTTACTTTCTAACATTGAGGCAAGGTCCTGTACTTCTATGCACCGATGTATTCCATCATGCAAAATGAAAAGCATGAAAATTAAGTAGCTGAAAGTCAAATCAAGGGGAAAAAAAAGGTGGCGGGATTTTTAAACTGGAACCATTGTTTTCTTGTGATATGATGATTTTAAAAAAAAAGTTGTCACATAGAATACATTTTTATGCTAAGCACTTACGAGTAAAATTTGGTTAACTTTGCACCAATATTTCACTTTTACAAGCTTTAAAATTTGAATCTTCATGTGACTCAAAAGTGTCTGCATGGTTCTGACCTTGCACAGACTGATACTGATAGAAGATTACTGTAAAAACACACTTGCAACCAAAACTGGTACAGACTGATGGAGGTTTACTCTAAATAAAACCACACATGGAACCACAACTAGTATAGAGACTGAAACAGGGGTTTACTGTAAATAAAAGTTGTAACCACAATTGGTATTATAAATAGAAAATTTACTGTAAATAAAATCACACTTGTACTTGTAACCACAATTGGCAATAGCCTGATAGAGAGGTTTAATAGAACCACTTATAATCACAGCTGGTAAAGACTGAGATAGAAGAGGTTTACTGTAAATTAAACCATATTTGTGACAACTGGCATAATTGTCACTGAGTGACTGATGAAGGTTGTAAATGAAACCACTTGTGATTACAACTGGCATAGACTAGATATAGAGACCATGTGTGAATGACGCCACTTATAATTGCAAAGAAATAAAAAAATAGAGGTAGGTGTACAAATGAAACCACTTATAGACTTCACAACTGGCATAACTAATGGAAGAGTGTAAAATGAAACCACTCGACCATCACTCACCATGTTCTGGTCAATGCCATCAGCCAGAGTGTGTCGCCGCCCTGAGCCGTGTCTACGGACCGTTGCTTTTAGGGGACCAGACTGGGCGGGTGGCGCGGTGCTGCGCTGTTCTTCTGACTTGTTCTGAAACTGTTGAATGTTCGCTGAAGACAGAAACAGTTTGTGTGTGTATATGATAGCCTTCAAACAAAGAAGAAAGAGTGAAGAGAGGCAAAATGGGCGATATTTCCCATTTTTTAATGGTGAGTGGCTGCAAATACGGAGTCCCTCAATTGTGCATGCTGAAAAAAAAAGTAAGTAAGCTCAATCATGTAAAAAAATGTAAACCATCTTTACAAACAATCTGTGCCTATAGTTTTGTTCAAGATCGTCCTTACGCCTTAATTAATGCTTTATCAATCTACAAAAAGAAAATTTAGAGAATGAGAACATATGATTCTATAAAATATATCATCTTTAAAAACTCCCTGCAAGAGAAGCTATACGGGCAGACAGATGAACTGAGCAGGACGGCCCAATTTATGACAGATATCAGACTTCAAGTGTGATGCGATCGAGAAGAAGAAGAAGTAAAAACCCCCAACTAATCACCACCATCAACTTTCCCATCATAATTCATAATTTCGAAACTCTGGAATTAAAATTATACTGTTGAACCTGCCTTAACGGAATCTCTCTCCCCCCCCCCCCCCCCGATATATTCCTCTTTCATAACCTCTGTATAAAACCAAAGGCTGTCCAACTCGGAAACGGGGGAAAAAAAACCCCTCCCTTCCGAGTAAGACGGAAAATGCCTTGCCCGACCAGCCCTGGTTTGAAACGAAACTCGCAAGTTTGATTCTGCCGGCTCTAAACTTAACGCCATGCTGCTGGGCGAGGAATGAGAGTACGGGTGCAATTTGGGGGTAGATGTTACCCCATCTATGTGAGCCTTGAGCGAAGCAGATGGTCAGGGTAGTGTGGGTGTGAAATCTCACGACATGAGTGCCAGTGAAGGTGCTCAAATAGTTATAGTGAGCCACAACAGAAACTTTCCTAGGTAGCCAGAAGCCAATGCCTGCCGCCCTGATCTTATGGCTAGCTGAGAAAAGAATTCATTGAACCATCGTTGTTACTCATGGAAGTGAGGGGTGGCATTGGTTGATTGTGCTTGTTACACTGACTGATGGGTGGGGCTGAGGGTGGAAGCAAACAAATGAGATGTTTCTTTTTTTCTAATAGGTCAAATAGTGGTCATATGAAATGCAAACACTGGTGGAAATTGGATAAGACTTACGCATGTCATTATCAGAGAGGATAGCAGTTGAGAGGTGTGACCACTGCTTGCCAACCGGATTTATGCAATTTGATCCCACCGGCTGGGCCTTTGAAAACCCTCTCTATCTCCTACCTGAATTCCCCTGTCTAAGACTGAATTTTTTCGGGCTCCCTTGCGATTCCATCTTACACAGGTTCAACTGCATTATAAATTTTAAAAAAAACCAAAGTGGTATGTGTACAGCCCTCCTGCACGCATAGCATTGAGGCTTGTATGGCCCTCCACTTCACATAATAAGCTAGGCTTTGCAGGCGGCACAAAAACTATCAAACCGGACACTACAAGTGGACAAACTTAAACCCTGGAAGCGTGCAGGCCCTTTATAAAGGGCGTGAGCCAGGCTGCCCGAGAAGGGGCAGGCCCTATATATATATAGGGATGACCTACTTCGATTGGGAAGTGCGAAGCTATAAAAGGCATAGACGCTGACCCTTTTTAAACGGAAAATTTCAGCATTCCTTATAAAAATTACAGGTCAAAGTTATTAATAGTGACCAATGACGTTGCAAGTTATCTTGACCTCGTAGAGCATCTCTTGGCCAAAGATCGTACATGATAAAGTAGTTCACTCAGCCAAAAAGGTGTCCGCGAAGTATGCACATTGGTTTAGATGACGCTGCACAGTCTTTGTTTTGAAGCTCTCTTTCGTTTCACCAGAAAAAGAACAGGAATAGCACAGTTTGTTAGTTTCACTTTTATATATTTTCACACAAGTTGGGTAACTGATCGCAAAGTCCGCACTTTTTCGAAGAGGGCGCCACCGAATATTGAGGACTCTTTTTTAATTGGCTCAATTATAGAGGAGTGAATCATCTTGTTTATACACGATCTTTGTCCGGCCAAGATATCGATCGATAAAATGACACGGTCCAGCTGAGCGATTATCAAGTCCGTGAGCATACACTTCTAAATCAACTAAGAGTATACAGACCTGGTAACCGGGAACCAAGTCACAAAGTATACAGACCCGGTAGGGGAACTCTTTTGTGACTTCAGAAAGTTTCAGCGCCCAGACCCTGTTGTGTGTGCGTGTGTGTGTGTGTGTGTGTGTGTGTGTGTGTGTGTGTGTGTGTGTGTGTGTGTGTGTGAGAGAGAGAGAGAGAGAGAGAGAGAGAGAGAGAGAGAGAGAGAGAGAGAGAGAGAGAGAGAGAGAGAGAGAGAGAGAGAGAGAGAGAGAGAGAAAAGCTAGCAAAATGTATATTATGACATGCCCCAGTTGGCAGGAGGGAACGAGAGAAAGATACAGTGGGAAATAGTGAAGAGAAAGAAAGACAGAGACAAACAAAGAAAAAGAGAATGCGAGCGATACACAGAGAGAGAGAGAGAGAGAGAGAGAGAGAGAGAGAGAGAGAGAGAGAGAGGAGAGGAGAGAGAGAGAGAGAGAGAGGAGAGGAGAGGAGAGAGAGAGAGAGAGAGAGAGAGAGAGAGAGAGAGAGAGAGAGAGAAATAGAGAGGGTGACGGCTCGATTGAAATTATGACATTGTTCTTTTCTTCAAGTTGTGATTCCTCCAACTCCAAAACGGAGGAAAAACGATCGTTCATCCAAAAGACATCAGCAATCTTAATCTAGATCTAGATCTAGGCTAGCCTCGAAACTAGATCAATGATTTATGTCTGTCTATCTAGATCTAGACCTAGGCCATAGATCTAGAAGAACATAGGTCTACCCTGAGCCAAGAGGCGCTGAAACTTTCCTAAATCACAAAAGAGTTCCCCTACCGGGTCTGTATACTTTGTGACTTTGTTCCCGGTTACCGAGTCTGTATACACTCCCCCTTAAATCAAAGGGCCGTACGTAGGGAGGGCCGTACACATGAGGGCCGCACGCATAGCGTACGGGAGGTAGGGCCATATGCATATGAGGCTATGCGTACGGGAGGGCCATACGTATAGCCACAGGCTTTTTTTAAAAAGAGCAAAATTTCCAACCTCTATCCAACATTAAGAATAAAAGTGTGCTCCACTTTATCTTCAGCACAAAAAACAATCTGTAGGCCTTCACTGGCCTTCCCTCTTCCCATCCATGATTAAAAAATACAATGTTTTTGATTTTGTTTAGCTTTAAATAAAAAATTTAATCAGATTCACTTTTGAAAGCTTTAGGTAAAACTATCTCTCACATACATCATACAACCCAAGCGTTATTAGTATTTCAAAACTTACTTTTTTGTTTAACCCTGACTGATATCTTTATTACAAATTTGTTTGAGTTCACTTACCATATATGGTGTCTTCAGAATTTTTGTCAGGTCGATAAATGTTGTACTCATGACTATCCTGTCCTGGCTTGCGACTTTCAGTCCACTCCTTCTGCCAATTTTTCAGGTCATTCAGGATCCTTGTATTTGACTGTCTTTCTCTTGGTGGTACAGCAGGAGGGGAACGGGAATACAAATCTGGTCCTGACAGAGACTTCTTTATACTGTTGACATTTCCTTGGCCTTGGGACTTCAATCTGTCTGATCTAGGCGGAACAGCTGGAGGCTTTTCCTGATGTGCGGCACCAGAGTTACTATTGCCTGAGCGCCTGAAACTGTTTCCACTTGATGGACCAAGATGACTTCCAACAGTGTTCGGGTAACTGCTGACATCAGGTTTAATTGCAAATGCATTAAAGGTGTTCTCGCGGGCTTTCACTGGTCCCCCTGAGCTTGGAGCAGAAGGAAACTGCGGGGATTTCCTGTTACCCTCATTTGTCTGACGATTACTGCTCTCATTATATCTCCGCTCAGCAGGCCTACTCCCTACAGTGTTGACGCTATTATTTGGACCCTGGTGATTTTGAATTGAACGTTGATCTCTTGCATTGCTTGTGGGTTTGTTATTGCTGGTAAGCCGTACTTCAGAATTAATCCTATTGTTCTTATTATCATCTTGTTTCACAGGACCTCGTTCCCTCTGGTTATCAAAGGAATGTAATCGATTTTCTTTAGAAACAAATGGTTTGCGGCCCTCGATGTTGAATTCGTTACTCTCTTTTCGCTTGGTGGCGAGAACAAGTTTCAAACCAGCAACAAATCGATCAAAGCTAAGAAAACCATTAGGAGGGGTAACTTTTCTCAGGCCATCAACTACACCAGGAGGTAAACCCCTAACTCCATCGTCACTCCACCTACTCTCAATGTCACAAAGACGAACAAACCCAGTTCTGTTTTCGTCCAAGATATCAAACAATATTCTCAGAGAAGACAAAAATTGTCTTGGCAAACCATCCATCGTGATGATAATATGATGCAAATATCACAATCTGCGACAACACTCAGTCAGTGACATAAATCTAGATTCTAGATCTAGACTGTGCACAAAAACGCAAAGCAAATTCCCTGCTGTCTCGTGAGCTTTATCCCGAACCCATCAATGGAATTAAGCTTGGCATTCAAATTCCAGCACAGCGGGTCCTCTTATTTCTTCAAGTCGGCGATTCAAATTCAAAGCCAACACACACCTCCCCGACTCAAAGAAAAACATTGCAACAAAATTTTGACGAGCCCAGCCCAGGCGAGACGAGCAAACGTACCAGTGATTGGTCAAGAATTCGAAGAACAACCAATGAAAAACATGATTAATTTTGCTAAAAATAAAGTAGAAACTCTCAAAGAATAATACATCAGGAGTGTCCCTTTCTCGGCATTCTAAAGAAGAAAATATTTATCCCATTCACATTATTTCAAAGTCTCTGTCAAAATCAATAAGAATATATTCTCAGCCAGATAACATGCCTTGATTTGGTGCTTTTCTCAATAAAGCTTTGCACTTTGCACTCGAGAGTATGTTTGCAGGATTTTCATCTGGAACACTTCCAGTGGAATCGCTTTCTAGCAAGCATATTGTCAGGTACTGTAGTAAACGTCACTGGGTCAACAGGGCTTTAAACTTTTTATTGGATTTATTCTAGGTCAGATAAAGCAAGTGGTCACGTTAATATCGAGGTAAGGCATCATGTTGTTTTCGTTTTCCCAATAAATTATTGTTTGAAGTAAATGCAAAGACTGGAGCTACTTGCTCACATCAACTACGACTTTTCGTCAGTGGTCGGCAATGTCAACAAACCAATATGGCCGCCTGTGTGATCATCGTCACTTGTGAAATGATTCGAACCCACATTCAATTATTCATTGCAATCTAATCGACCGTTTATTTTGTTGAACTTATTAAATTGAATCAACCATTTTAAAGCCTAGGGAGTTGTATGACAGGATTTCGAGATCTAGATTAGTTTGTTTTACTTTTGTTTATGTTGACCCTGTAACACTACAGTACAGTACAGTCAACAGTTACAGCACAGCTAACCTGCAGTAGTCAGTTGTGTCAGTAGCCTACTGTACAGTGCTACACTTTATTATTAAACATACTACTCGCACTACAAGTCTATATTACAATTTTACAGTCTACTAGAGCTACAAATCAGGAATGTGCACTGGCCAACAGTGACCATACTGAAGAAACTGAATCAATCAATTGACTGAGTGATGATACACTGCTAATATGAACTCGCTTTCTAAATCAGACTTGTAATTGTTGATGACTGACTGTGATGTAATACCTGCCCTGGTAGACCACAACTACATTCACAATACATTTTCAACTGTCAGCTTCCTGCCCTCCTCATCATTTCGTACTATCGTACCCTCTGATTGAAGTTCTGACAATACAACACTGAGACTTTCACTTACACTGACTGTTTGTAGTCATTGCGAGAAGAAGGAAAGGTAAAAACATTTTTACTTTCACTCCCTCACACAGATGCACTGCCTCGGGGGTCAAACTGCAGTATTGTTTGCTGCAGATCACACATAGAGCCACAAAAACTGTCGCAAATCAATTATTTTCAAGAAAATTACAAACTACAAACCTAACTGCAAAATAGATATCAAATTATGGGTTAGAACAGAGGGGCGTTCCCCCCACCCCTCCCGATTTTTTTAAACTGTAGGCCTAGTGGCTCGCTACTCGAGCACTCTCACGGGCAATTGTGAGATTTCACACCCACTCTACCCTGACCATCTGCATCGCTCAGGGCTCACATTATGGGATAACATCTACCCCCAAATTGCACCCCTACTCCCCTTCCTCGCCTGGCGGCATGGCCATGGCATTACATTTAGAGCCAGCAGAACCAAACTTGCGATTTTTAATTTCAAATTAGAGCTGAGCGGGCAAAGCATTTTCCGTCTTAGACAGGTGAAACCCTCGGAAGGGAGCGCAGATTTTTCTTTCCGTTTCCGCATTGGACAGGTTTCAGTTTTATACACGTAATTGAAAAGGAATATATCAAGGGGGGAGCGGGGAGATTCCGTTAAGACAGGTTTCCGTTTTATACAGGTTTCCGTTAAAAAGGTAGGTTCGACTGTATATATCGTAAAAAATGGACAACTGGTAGCTAAGTGTGAGATGGGAGGGAAAGGTTAAGGATACCGAAGGGATCTAGCATAAACTTCAGTGTAGTGCACTTGGCTTAAAAAGTATGCTCTGTTAGGTGTAACTTTCACTTAGAATCACTTTTTGAAGTCTTGGGTCCCATTTAAGTATTTTTACTCTTGGAAAGCAAGGCCTACTTCATAAAAGTGAAAGGTACTTTTACTATACATGATATAACATTCACTTTTCAAGGGATTTTAAATCAAAAGTTTTGTCGCCTATTTTGTCCAAAGTGTACTAATAAAGAGGGACTTTGGACAAAATATATTTCTGAGGTGATGGTTTGTTTAACATGCAGAATATGAGAAAATAGAAAAATGACTAAAAGTGATAGCTTTCCCATACTTAGGAATGCAACTTAATCAGTTGCAGTGAGAGGGCCAGTTTTTTGTACACACAGTAGTTGAAGTAAGGCATCAGATATTGGTTATTGAGGTAAACATCATATTGAAAATAGAAAGGGGGCTTGAAGGAAGGATATATGGGGCAGGAGAGCCAGGGGTAGACCAAGAGTAACATGGATGGACAACATTAAAACACGGACTGGCCTTGGTGTAGCAGAATGTGCAACGGCAGCTCGCTACCGTGAAGGATGAAGGGTCATTACACTCATTACACGTTAACCTCTGAGTCAGAGATAACACTTCCAGAGCTTCCGAGTTTTGCCTTTGCCTCTCAAGTAGATGCTTGCATCTCCCCCCACCCCCTCTCTTTTCCTCACTTACACTTCTGTACTTAAAAGAAAGAGACAACGAATGGACGCACTGCACTGAAGTAAATACCAAAGAAAGTCACTCTATATGATACCTTAATGGATAATGAACCTTTATGGATTTTTAAGCATGTTTCTTGGGCTGCCAAGGTTTTTATAAAATTTTTAAAGATTCTACTGCGGCTTCAGTGTTCTAGTGGTACCTTAGGGTTTTTCAGTTTACGAGCCTTTGGTATTGCAAATGTTAAAGATCAAAGGCAGTACCGGTAGGGTTTACATTAGCTTTATATTTGTGTGTGGGTGGAGTGCTACATTTACAGAATTTTGTGGTGGTAAAGATTATGATTGATAAGTAAGTTGCTTAAGCTTATTCAGCAAATTACAAGATGGGACTGTTTTTAGAAATCAGGCGGTCCCCCTCTGGACAAACTGTAACTTCCAAAACATATTTTAAAATATATATATAGCAATGACATCCCCAAGCCTGTGTTATAAATGCAAAGGGAAAAATATAAACTGATCCTTGTCACAAGTTCCAAGCCTGTATAAACTGGTAGACCTTTAACTAAACCAGTTGTCAGACCTGTCCTGCGGTAGACTGTCAACTAAACCAGAAACATTGCGGTAGACCTTCTACTAAACCGGCACCCATTTTTCTGTCTCTTGTGCAGTCTTACAATCTGTGACCGGCACTGTAAAGAAGCTGTACTTGGAGGGAACATTTAGTCCAGATTCTCGCTGCCCCAGGAGAGAAATATTAATTTAGTACGGAAACTCTCTGCAGTAGTGAGAGCAAAGCTGTGAGATAACAAATGGGACAGAGAGTCAATTGTGGTGCTTAACAGTATCTTGTGGGTTTGTTTGCCCGGTTGCTGACTCAAGCTACTTGAGTGTGTGCTGATAAGGCACCCAGGGGGCCTTCATTCATATCTCTGGGCCTCCTCTTTTAATTTCCTTTCTTTGCTTTTCACTGCCTACCATAACAGTGTACATTTATAACGGGAGATTCTGTTGAAGTGTAAGCAGGGTTTAAAAAATTTGTTGTTGGAGAATACCGTAAGCAATAGATTAAATTTTACTCTTTGTTTATTTTGATTAATTGTCAGAATTAGTTGTCACTGAATCTGTTTTTGGAAGAGATTTCTTTCTGAATGTTCAGTTGGCTTGATTTTTTTTTCTGAGCATCAAAATGTTTCTAGTGGCTGATAGTTTTTCCCATGATGGTAGTTTTTGGAGGCTGACTTCTAGTCTTTGACTGAAATGATATTTATTTCTCTGTCAAAGAGGCCTCCATCTTTCATTAAGGTTGGCCTTTCAACCCTGTTTTTTTTTTACAAGGCCAAATTTGTATAACTGTAGACTCCCCACTGCAACAACCTGATTTGACAGTCTTTGAGAACTATTTTCTTCAACTCTTTTTCAACTTTACAAAAAAATTTGCCTTTGGTTAACATATGCACATACCAATTCATGTTTCTTCTTCTGATAGTCAGTTTATTGAGTAAGCAGTCTCTGTGGGCAAGTGTGTGATCAGAATATTATTATGTTGGTGAAGAAGACGTGCATGTGGAAGACTTACTCACCCTCACGTGTGAAGTCAGAGTGTTTATCATCACATGTTGGCTGGGAAATGATCTGGGCAGGAAAGAGAAAGAGCAGGAAGAAAACGAGTTTGTGTCATCTCAGATTAAAATAATTATTTCATCAGGATTTGTTGGATTCAGTGTGGCTATGAAGTGGACACAGAGGTCGAGGATAGAGAGGAAGAGTCACAAGGAAAAGAATTTACATTATTGGACTTTTAAAGAATATTGAACAATTATTTCCTCAGTATTCATCAGATCCATCATGGCTGAGGAGATGGAGACGAATGAGATGGTCGAGGCGTCAGCGCCGATGGCACAGAATGGCAAGCTGGCGTACTTTTATGTGGAGAAAAAAATCGGGAAGGGACAGTTCTCTGAAGTGTACAGGGCCAAACACAAAATAGACGAAGGAATTCTAGCGCTAAAGAAGGTTCAGGTAAGAGGTACCGTTCAGGCGTTGAAATCCTTTTGACCTGCTTCTTACCTCTCAACAGTCTGTCTTCCTGTGTTTCTCTGATCCTGGGGATCAGTAAGCTCATTGTTAACTTTCTGGGTTTACTCGGTATGAACTTTTTTGAGGTGTCTTTTGGGTTTGATTTTTTATACATATATATGTGATTGTAAAACGTAATCAGTTTGTTGTTGTGCGGGAATTACAATTACGCTATATAAACATGGATATTAATAGATTTGTTCTGTTTAATTTTCCTTACAGATCTTTGAGATGATGGATGCGAAGGCCAGAAATGACTGCATGAAAGAAATTGATTTGTTGAAGGTAGCTTCTACATAAAACTGTATGAAAGACATCGATTTGTTGTATGTATCTCCTTTGTTAAGACTTCTGAAACAAGCTGTCATATATGCCCATATATCGTCTGCTCAGTGTACGGCTCAGTCAAACGTCACTTTTCAATATGGTATATGGTGGAGTCTTACACAAAACATTTGTGGGTGGTTGGCGGGTGCTCTGGCGTGGTTTATTCCTTCTTTCCTATGTCTTTATCTCCCCTCCTTCTTTTTTGTGTTTGTTATTCTCTTGTAACACCTAATCTTTGGCACTTATATGACCTTATTATGTTGCAAGTGCCGTAATACACATATTAAAACTAAACAACTAAACAAAACATTTTATATGTAATAAGCTTATAGTAGTTTTGTTTCTTTTTAGCAAATGTAACATGAGTTGTTCTTTTGGTTTTCCTTTCATTCTGTGGAACAATTTCTAGTCCTATCGTTTCGAGTGGGTGCTTGAAGGGCACCACTGGTAGGTGCTACCTTTATTCTATCCCTCCGTCCTTTCTGTGTGCGTGTGTGCACGCATGTGTGTGTGTGTGTGTGTGTTTGTGTGTGCATGCATGCTTGTATGCTTGCGTTTGTGTGTGTGTGCGAGTGTGTGTGTGTGTGCGTGTGTGTAGAGGCGGGGGGTGCCACTGGTTGATACTTTTCCCCCCCATCCCTCTGTTGTTTCTATGTCTGTCTTTCTTACTTTTCCTCCGCACTAAACCGCTTTTTTGTGTCTGTGTGCTTCTCTTTACCCCAACAAACAAACAAACAAATAGAATCTGCCGTTTGCTCAAGGTGACTATTTTTCTCATAGAAATTTTTATACATATACATATTCATAATACTGTGTTTTACGTTCACACATGTCCATTAATTTTTAAGGTGTGATATTTTTATGAATGTAATGCGCTTGGAGCATTTTTTAGAAAATGGAAAAGCGCAGCGTAATGCTATTTATTATTATTATTATTAAAACTTATCCTTCTCTGTGTCTCCACCCCCCCCCCCCCAGGGCAGTGCTACTGACTGAAGTGTCTTTAGGCCATTCCCAAAGGGGGGATATTAACATATTCTTATGCACTGTAGAATTGTAAATGGGCTGATTTATCAATGTCCTGCTCATATTGTGCCAGAACAATGTAGGGGGGAACTACTGCTTTTTCTTTCCTCATCCTTACTATCGTCATTTTTCCTCTACTTCTTTTGTATGTTTGTCACACTCTTGTGATCCTCTTTTTCTGGGGTGCCTTGATAGCAGACTTTGTGCTGTTGAGGATAGAGAGGTGAGCAGAGCAAGCCTGATTCCCTGTTTGGACTTCTCTGTTGACATCCACTCCTTGGCGCTCGTATGACCTTTTGCAGTTGCGAGCCTGTAAAACCTTACTAAAACTAAGCATTTGTCTCCCCCAGCAACTGGATCATCCGAATGTGATCAAGTATTTGGATTCGTTCATAGAGAACAACGAGCTGAACATTGTGCTGGAGCTTGCAGACGCAGGCGATCTACAACGCATGATCAGGGTGAGTTGGGACGGGGATGGAGGGGGGGGGGAAGGTGTGTGGGGGCAGGGGATTGGGGAGAGGGGGGGGGACTGCTTTGTGTGTTGCTGCCGTAGCTCATAGGTGGCAGTCAAAGTCTTTTGGCTTAGCTAGACCACCCACAGCGATGGGTCACGTCATCTGGCATTTCTATACGAAAACGAGGAGCTACATCTTTTGTTGGCATACCTAGACCAAAGTGATGGGCTTCCATCTTTTGGCAAATTTTGACTAAAATGAAGGGAAACATCTTTCAGCTTAATTAGACGAACGTGACAGGCTTCATCTTTTGACTTAATTAGATCAAAGTGTTTTTTCAGTTTGTGTATTTTTGTATTGTTTTCTTTTCTGTCTGCATGTTTACGATGTTATTCTGTATGTGTATATTTACTGTATTTTTTTCTATCTGGTTGCTTACGATGTTATTCTGTATGTATATTCTTACAGTATATTTTCTGTCTCCACTTTGGCGGTAATGGAGATGGATGTTAAACTCAGAGGTCCTCCCTTTTAAATAATTTTGCAGCGTTGAAAAGGGCGTATAACTTTACAATTCCCTAATGAGAACTGTTTAGTTGACATTTTGAGATGGTACCTGAGAGTGAGACTGAGGTTCCTGTCTTTGTACCTACTTTAGTACTAGCAGACCTGCCAAGTACTCTGATAAAATTGGAGGTTTATTTTTTATTTTTGCACATTGAAGAACCCTGATTGGACTTGCATTGTATCCATTTTTTTTTCTTGAATTCTATTTCCATCAGTCTTTCTCAGCTTATCATCAATGACATGGAGATACACTAGTTTATTTGCTATATTTGTGTGACTTATTGTTAATGATGTGAAAATGTTTACTTACGTTTCTTTTTTGTGTGTATTAACCATTCATGTTTATTTGCTACTCTGATTTTTTCCCAAACTCCCATTTTTAGGGAGGATTTTGAGGAGGATTCCTCATTTTTGGTTATGTAGGGTTTGTCAGGTCTGTACTTGTTAGTTCAAATAACTGAAAGTTAGTTCAAATAACTAAAATATTGAGAGTTATGTCGAAGTAGATCGCGTTTCCAACCTCAGGGAAGTCTTTAGTAATACTCCTAACGTCTTTCCAAGGACACCTGTTTCCAACTTGCATCTGTGGTGGAACAATTAGGGTTTCGGCTGTTGTGCATAAAAGGTATGAGTTGAATGGAGAGAAAAAATTTCATTAACTCCTGCCCTGAGTCTGTGCCGAGATGTGAATCTTATCAGCAACCGATTACGTCGGACGTGCCGGGCAGGCCGCCGGGGTCACTCAGTGTGTACTGTTGGTGTACAGCGTGCATGCCGGGAAACATGTGTTTTCGCCATGAATACTGCGGGAATGTGTTAACCGATGATGAAAATAACGCTCTATCTTTCATAGCTTTCTATTTATAAAGTGTTACAAACACATGAATAACCCCCTCTCACAAGCTGATGAGACATTACGAGTAGTTACACCCATTCAAATAACCTTTCTGGACGTTCTTGTTGTTATGAATGACCTGAGGTTCGAAAGGGGATAATATAGGTCAATTTCCTAATGTTTTACACTCAAATTGTTCTTTGTACCTGCACAATGGTATTCAAAACTATAAAACAAGCTTATTTTTTATCAGGTAGTATCATTTCATACAAAATCAAGCTCATTTTAAAGATTTTGTATAGAAAAATGGAAGTCTTGTTTCCTGACTATCCTTTCAAGCTCCTCATGGCTAAGTGGGTCAATTTCTTCTATAATTTCATTGGGCGAACATCTAGAGCTACCAACTTGGCATGTTTTGAATGCGACGTATGCCTCGATTACGAACCAACGCAGGCGGTTCTAGAAGAAGGCCATAAATGCACACAAACTCAAGCAGACTGACGCACACACACTTGACCTGCGTGAATGGGGACCCGAATGACACGTAAGATGATGCGTGCTGCACGTGCGCTGAGCCAGGGGCTACACTGATTCGGGACCCGAACGTAGGCGAGGTGCCGAAATAGGCTTATCAGGCGACATATACCCAGCTCCCGCAGGACGATGGTTAAGTAATATTGTCAAGGTGCTACCTTTTTGGCCTAACTCAGACTTTAGCCAAAATGAAACCGATCCTACACAGCACTCCTTGACATCAAGGCCCCTTGCTAGGACGTTGTATTCCACTGGTAGGGATGGCAGTACAAATACTTTTTTACCTTTCCTTTAAAGAATATTATTTAGTGTGGTCAAAATTTAGAAATGGTCATAAAGATTAAAAAAAACAAACGAACAGTTTGCTTGGTAAACTTCGTTTATTGTAGCTAAGTACTGGACAAGCACTGACTGTCAAGGTGGAAGCAGCCTGCTTTCTGAATGTGAAGCATGCTGACAACATGAATTACTTCTCGGATTCAAGCCCTATGGAAATAGATACATCACACTTATAGGTAAACTTTTTACCTTTTATAAGTGTGAAATAATAAAAGGCATGTTATAATTCAAGAATATGTCATCAATAGAAATTCTACAAATTTGACCCTAGTGTCAATTTTTGGCCAATGTCTCCTTGTGTAGATTGCGAGAAATAACTTGTTTTGTCAGCATGTCTCACAAATATTTGAACCTGTGTGGATGAAAGCGTAAGTGACTTACAGTGTGTTGTTTCTTGTTGTGTTGTGTGCAGCACTTCAAGCGTCAGTGCCGGCTCATCCCAGAGAAAACCATCTGGAAGTATTTTGTACAGATCTGCTCGGCCCTGGACCACATGCACTCCAAGAGGATCATGCACAGAGGTACACTCCCACGGGTTTTTTGGGTGGTTTTTTTTGGGGGGGGGGTTGGGGATATTTTTTTTCTTCTCAAAGAGTGTTGATAAGCATGATTAATATTTGGTAGGGATAGCGTACAAATGTTAAAACATTTTTCTCTCAAAGAATATTGTTTAATGTGGCTAAAATTTAGAAACGGTTGTACAAATGTTTTTTAAAAAGTTTTCTTCGTATCTTTGTTTATTGTAGCGAAATTTAGACACAGTCATACACATGTCTTTCAAAACTGATTTTCTTAGTGACTTAGTAAGCTTCATATTGGGTACTTAGTTTTAGACACAGTCGTACTCACATTTTAAAAAAATGTTATTCTTGGCAAGCTGTGTTTAGTATAGTTAAGTTTTGACACAGGTGTACCTATGTTGTTGGTTTTTAAAAAAATGTTTTTCTTAGCAAGCTGTGTTTAGTGTAGTTTAGTTTTGACACAGGTGTACCTATGTTGTTGTTTTTTGTACGAACTTCATTAAGCATAGCTGGAATTTTAGATATATTTTGATTGACTATTGGTCCAGTCAGTGTGTCTCCCCTCTTATAGACATGAAACCAGCAAATATGTCCATCCCTTACCCTGTCTGTGTCTATCCCCAGTAGATATCCAACTGTCTGTCTCAGTAGATATCTAATTGTCTGTCAGATATAATAGATATCTAACTGTCTGTGTTTTTCCCAGAAGATATTTAACTATCTGTGTTTATCTCAGTAGATATTTAACTGTCTGTGTCTTATCTCCCCCCCCCCCCCCGATATCAAACCAGCCAATGTGTTCATCACTGACTCTCATGTCTCTCAATCCCCCTCCTCCAGATATCAAGCCAGCCAACGTGTTCATCACGGCTCAGGGTGTGGTCAAGCTGGGAGACCTGGGACTTGGACGTTTCTTCAGCTCCAAGACAACAGCCGCTGTCTCTCTAGGTAACTATTTATAGTGTAGCTCCGAGACCATTGCCACCTTCTCTCTGTGTATCTATTTATAGTTCAGCTCCTTTACCACTGCAGCAGTCTCTCAGGGGACCTATTTATAGTGTAGCTGCGAGACCACCACCACCTTCTCCCTGTGTATCTATTTATAGTTCAACTCCTTTACCACTGCAACAGTCTCTCAGGGGATCTATTTATAGCTCATCTCCTTGATCAGAGCAGCCGTTTCAGTAGGTATCTATTTATAACCAAGCTCGGAGCTAACCTGGCTGTCTCTCTTTGCATCTATACCAAAACCTCGGTATAACATACTTGATGGGTGGTTGTCGGGTGCTCTGGTGTGGTTTGCTTTTTCTTTCATATCAAATATCTATCATCCTTATCTCTCCTCCTTCTTTTATGTGTTTGTTACTCTTTTGTAACACCTCTAATCTTCGGCACTTTTGACCTTATTGTGTTGCAAGTGCTGTAAAACACTTACTAAAAAACTAACTTACTCGGCTTAACTTTTTATCTCTAGAGGGGGTTTCTCCACTATGCTGGAGGCCTCTTTTGGTGTGAAATCTAAAAATAACATATATATCACTAAATTGGTAATCACATCTAAACAAATGAACCTATTTCAGTAGTTCTTCATCTAATGAAAGAACTAGACCTACAAGTAAAAGAGACTTGTTTTTTGCAATTTCCGAAAACTAACAACGTCGGAGTCATCATAAAGGAATGTGCCCGAGCTGCTGATAGCGGATCCCCGGCACAGCAGTTCCGACAGTGAGCTGCTGGCAACGGCTTGCACAAATAAACAGTCAAAATGTCCAATATTTATTTTCTTTCCCTCTGTTGTTTCTATCTGTCTACTGCCGGGTCTGGTAGATCCTACCTCTTTCCTTTCCCTCTGTTTTTTTGTCTGCTACTGGTGGGTCCTACTTCTTTTCTTTCACTGTTGTTTCGATCTGTCTACTGCTTATAGGTCCAACTTTTTTTCTTTTACTTTGCTATTTGTGTCTATCTTTCATACTTTTTCCATTGCACTAAATGGCTATGGGTAGTAAGAGGGTGTCACTAGCAGGTTCTTCTTTTCTTTCCCTCTGTTGTTTCTGTCTGTCAGCCTTTAATTTTCCCCATCACTAAATGACGTTTACAGTGTGGATGTGCTTCTCTATACTCTAATAAGTGGGTGGTTGGCAGGTGCCTGTGTGGTTTGCTCCTTCTTTCCTGACAAACATGTATTAGCTTTATCTCCCCTCCTTCTTTTTTGTGTTTGTTACTCTCTTGTAACACATCTATTCTGCGGCACTTGTATGACCTTATTGTGTTGCAAGTGCCGTAAAACTCTTACTAAAACTCAAAACTCAAACAAACACACAAAGTTACACCTGATGGCCTCTTGTCTTTTCAGTTGGCACGCCCTACTACATGTCGCCGGAGCGCATCAACGAGAAGGCCTACAACTTCAAGTCAGACATTTGGTCTCTGGGCTGTCTGCTCTACGAGGTCAGTGGGTCGCTGTTTGTAAATATTTTATGTCCACTGTCATTGGTTTGTAAAGATTGAAGATCTTGTGAGTTAGTTTTCAGCATGTTGTTTTTTTAAATTGTGTGTCTGATTCTCAAACTGTCTCCTGGGATCTATTCTCAGAAATAGTATCCATTGTGTCGGTTGGGATGTAGAACATTTATTATTTGACTATCAATTAGAAAGATTTGGTTGATGGAAAATTCTGAATTGTTCTGTCAACTGACTAGTTATTTTGTTTACAATATAATGTTTCTATTCTATGTGTACTGCACAGTAAGTGGGTGGTTGGCGGGTGTTCAGGTGTGGTTTGCTTCTTCTTAACTATAAAAAATCTATCATCTCTGTCTCCCCTCCTTCTTTTTTGTGTTTGTTACTCTCGTGTAACACCTCTAATCTTCGGCACCTATACGACCTTATTGTGTTGCAAGTCTGCAAGTGCCGTAAAACACTTACTATAACAAAAGCAAGTGCGTAAAACTTTTACTAAAACTAGTAATGTGTTCTGTTGTGTGTACTGTAAAGTAATGTGTTCTGTTCTGCTCACTTGCGCCCTTGTACAGATGGCGGCCCTGCAGTCCCCGTTCTATGGAGACAAGATGAACCTTTTCTCGCTGTGCAAGAAGATAGAACAGTGTGACTACCCCCCTCTGCCTGCCGACTGCTACTCTGAACAGGTACGACAGAGGCTGAATACTTTTAAACGGGGTATAATGGAGGTGGATGTTCTCTGAACATATGTGAGATAAAGGCTGGCTGCTTTTTTAAACTGATATGATAGAGGTTTAATTCTTCTTTAAACGGGTATGATAGAAACTGACTGTTACTTTAAACTGATATGATAGAGGCTTAATTCTTCTTTAAACGGGTATGATAGAAACTGACTGTTACTTTAAACTGATATGATAGAGGCTTAATTCTTCTTTAAACGGGTATGATAGAAACTGACTGTTACTTTAAACTGATATGATAGAGGCTTAATTCTTCTTTAAACGGGTATGATAGAAACTGACTGTTACTTTAAACTGATATGATAGAGGCTTAATTCTTCTTTAAACGGGTATGATAGAAACTGACTGTTACTTTAAACTGATATGATAGAGGCTTAATTCTTCTTTAAACGGGTATGATAGAAACTGACTGTTACTTTAAACTGATATGATAGAGGCTTAATTCTTCTTTAAACGGGTATGATAGAAACTGACTGTTACTTTAAACTGATATGATAGAGGCTTAATTCTTCTTTAAACGGGTATGATAGAGGCTTAATTCTTCTTTAAACGGGTATGATAGAGGCTTAATTCTTCTTTAAACGGGTATGATAGAGGCTTAATTCTTCTTTAAACGGGTATGATAGAAACTGACTGTTACTTTAAACTGATTTGATAGAGGCCGACTGCTTCTTTAAACAGATATTTTGTAAAAAAAATGTTTGCGGGGGTAAGTGTTTTACACTGCTCGCAACTGCATGAGGTCATATGAGCGTACGGGACACATTAAACCTTTTCAGTTGGTAGGAAATTTTGAATTTTGCCTGGGTGGCGGCCGTAGCCTACTCTTATCGATTTTGGACCACCAAGGAATCTTTAACTTGCGCAATTTGCACACGGGACCTCCGAGATTTATCACCTTTGTCAGAGTAGAGGGCTAGGTGTAGATCTTTCCTACCATAAGATCAGGGGTGTGGGTGAAAGACAGCAGTAAGAAGGAGCCAAGGAGTAGCAGCAGAAACGCTGCAGAAAGAGTGAGGGGCCAAGAGGTGGGGGTAAAGGGGGTGAGGTGGGGGGCAGAAAGTGACGATGAAAGCAGACGACAGAACATTGTTAGAGAGCAGGAAAGGATGTGAAAGGAGGAAATTTTAGACAAGAAAATATTCCGTCGCTTTC